TAGAGTCAGAGAGGAAAGGTTGTTTTTTTTTTTAAAACATTAAACCTCACCTATTTATATTAGAGATAACGCGTTCGCTTGTGTATACTACGTAATCTTACACGTCTTACATATCTTATATGCGTCGCATGAAATGCATCACCCTTGCGCCACTCATACTGCATTGGTACATGTAATGAAATTTCCGAATTTTATTTTTTTACGTATTTTGATAATTGTGATAGTCACGTAGTAAAAATTACGAATTTGCAGATCACGTATGTATTACTGTACGAGTGGCGCAAGGGGATTTATATATAAAATATAATAATTAGTAAAACTGAAACTTTATTATATAATAAAAAAAATATGAATTAGATTCTTGTGGCTTATATATTATTATTATAAACCAAATATCGCCCATGAGCGTTATTTTTAAAAAAAAATAATAGGTCTAAAAAATTGATCCTTTATCTTGAACACGCAGGTGTGCGTTATTTCGCGCCTATACGGTATGGCAGGTCTGTGTAATGAAAATTTCTCGCGTCGCGTACCACTATTTTTTACTATGGCTGAAGCTAGTACACCCAATAAGGATTTAATTGCGCTTGCAGGAATAATTAAGAAAGATGATACAGCCAAACTTATTTCATATTTACAATAATCAATAATTATTTGCGCTCTTTTCTTATGTTCCATATTAAAACTAGAATCTGGACTTGTAATAAATACAAGATCTTTTTTGATAGCATCTAAGGAAGCCACGACCAGTAACCTTATTTTCTTCGAAAATCTTAATATTTAATAACTTGTTCATCCACTTCTAACTTTTGTTCCTGGATGGTAAGTTTATTAATTTTAGTTAAATTATAAACTTATAGAAACTTGAACTTATAGTTCACAGTAATAAACTCTTAGTTCAACACAGCTTATAAATATTTTTAATTCTTTTTTTTAAATTACTCAGCTTTGGAAAAATGATTCCCAGAAGTTCAATATGGAACTTAAGCAGAATTATTCCCAATTTGAAATCAATAATTTAGAGGTAAATCTTAGTTTGAAAATTTATAGATAAAACATTGGGTAAAATTTCGTTTTAATTAGGAACTCAACGAAAGATTGCAACAGAAATCATTAAAGGTCGAAAATATCGTCGAGATAAAGGAAAAGCTGTGATGAATTCTGACGAAATTGATGGTGAGAATGATGGTCAATTTGGGCTAATATAAGAAATTAATATGCTTATTATCATTATCTTTTATCAGAAAATCTTCCTGGTGACATTCGAAGATGGTCTCCCAGTCATGTCGAAAAATTTCTTATGTCTCGCATGAAAAATTGATTATAAAAAAAACAGATTTTGAAAAACTCAGAAAGCTAGATATTACGGGTAGAGCTTTTCTCCGGTTAACAGAAGAGAAATTAACTTGTAAACCTGATCTTTACGAACTTAAACCAAGTCCAGCAGAAGGAATAATGGAATTAGTTGAAGAACTCAATAAAAAACAGGTAAGTTATTAGAGATTAGATTAATAAAGAATCTACTTACGTCATAATATTGAGTTTTTTGTCTTATTTTGTCATTTCTCTTTTAGAAAAAAGAAGAGTAATCATCAGGATCGTAATATTAAAACTTCCTGAAAAAGAATTTAACGCTTATGATTTACTAAATATAGTGAACCCTCTCTAAATGCACTCCCCTCGGGATCATAGAAAGTTTTTAAAAAATGTGTATTTATAGGTGATTTTATTAAATGTTCTATGTACTTGGAACCAAGCTTGACCGTGCATTTAGAGAAAGAAAATATAGTAAGTGCATTTAGAGAGGGTACATTTAGGGAGGTTTCTCTGTACATGTAAATGGTTAGGTAGTAAATAAGGAATTATAACAAAAATAATATATAATTACCATCGAGCGGATTAATTCTTTATAAATTTTAATTAAAAAAAAATAGCATAATTTTATGTCTATTATTTCAGCAATCCCACATACCTTTTTTTTTTAAAAAATAAAATCTATTCATGAGATGTGCTCACGTAATGTCACAATTTGTATAAGGTTCACTCCTTTAACAGCAAATGATAATATTTTCTTACGTAAAGAAATGGCTCAGTTAAAAGAAAATTTAGTGCAAGCATAGTCTGAATGCGCAGTATAATATTGAAAATTTTATCGTCGAAAGAATATATGAACAAATCTTATCGGTGATTTACAAGATTGATGCAATTACTTGTATAGATCTATGAATAAGGATAGTTATTTTTCTCAAGCATGACATTGTGATCACATGTTTACATTCTGTGCAATAAAAACTACTTTTTTTTTTGCATTCTCAACCTCCTTTTATTGCCTGATATTCAAGTTGCCAAGTATCGTTGATACTGAATTGTTTGAGTGCTAGGATTTTGTTAAAATAGTTGGTTATATATTAATAAGTTGTTCTGGATCATTCTGTAGTTGTTTACTATCAGACAATATAAATAGGTCTAGTATAGGTTTGAGACTCATTATATAACTACGAAATAATTATATAGACAAATTTTTCTTATTCCAGCTATAAAGTAACCTTGTTTTATAAGTGATATTATCTATGCTATATTATTATTTAACATCGGATATCAGATCCTCAGCCTTCATGTGTCTTATGTTGCCTTTGCAAAACGTGTACATGAAACATTAACTGCGACTAAACTTTATTTTTTCATTGAATTCAGTCTTCACTTCACACAAATAAGTTCAATACAAAATATGTTTATAGAAAAGTTATTGTTTTTGTGAGCAGCTTGTTCTTTTTGTTTCAGGAGTGTTATCTGAAACTGATATCCAATCGCTCACACAATCAGAACCATCTTCATTGATCATGTCTTCTCCACCCATTTTTCCCTTCACAGATTGTCGTTCCGCGATTAGTGCCTATAATAGCGAATAAACCCCGCGATAAGTAATAGTAAATGAGATACATTTTATGTCTGGCAAAAGAAATACCTCAAAATAGACGCCTATCTTTGCAATCTTAGCTAGAAACCATCGATCCGTATATGATGTTGGAAT